AATTGACTCAACTCCCGAAACACATTAGTTGCAATTCTGTATGGTGATACATGCTTAGAATCTAACAAGAGCTCAGTAGTAAAACCAATCTCTCGCACTAGTGGTAGTCCTAGTAGATCATCAAGAAAAACTTCTGGATTTTCTCTTACCAATGCAATATCACCCAAAGGCTTTACATAGAGCTATATATTACCTTAGCAAGAAAATTTTGATTTCTTTGATTCAATAATTTGAAAGCATTCAAATAGGTAATTATCATGGGGTACTAATCCTCTATCTCCACAAAATTTAGCTTCTGCTTCCCCAAGAGCACTAATTTTGATAGTCTTTTATTGCAATCAATTGTGAAGAAATTTTTAGACAACCAATTCATACCTAAAATCACCTCAAATTCCACCAAAAGTAACACAATCAATTGTGCATCAAAATTCTTTCCACCAACATAAGCTTCAACTCACATAAATGAGTAACCTCCATAAAAATTTCATTTGACATTCTAACCAATAATATCAAAAATATTAAGATATTATTCAATTCCATCACTTTTGCTAATTCATTTGCTACCGAATCAAACAATAATCTTATTGACCTATTCTGAAGATAAATGATGCCTATCATTAAAATTGTTGCATTGAACATTTAGGTTTGACTTATAATATATTTACGTTCTTACATTGTGTATGAATGATAAGATATTAATTCTATTATGATTAAAAATGCACGTGGTTAAAATTATTAAATGTAAAACATATCTATCATAACTCTAGGAGAGTTCTTTGTTTTTTTATGCAAAGGTGCATAAACTGTTGGCTGAACATTCTATTGGGTCTAACCAGGATTTGTCATTGATTTTGATGATCAGCTACCTTTGTTCTGCCAAAGCTCCTCTAAGGCAGTGTAACACCGCCCCTAGAATCTACTAAAGCCATTTTTATCTAGGGCAATTTGTCACCATATAACCTGGTTGATGGCACAAAAATAAGTGTTGGAACCAAAAAGATACCCTTGTGAGACCTCTCACAGCTGTCACACTTCTTGGCTTCAACATGACTGCCAAAACTCTGGTCTTCTTAGCACCTGTATTTTATCACTAGAATAATTGCTTGCCCTGAAAGCCATGAGAAAATCTGGATCCATCTGAATTTCTCTTCTGAAAGTCTTTTCTCCTTTGAGGAGCTTCTAAATCTTGCTCAATCCTCTTGGCACTTTTTACCAAAATAGAATGTTTATTGATCTCAAGAGGAATTAGTGATCGTCTAATCATATCCGTCAGCCCATACAAAAACCTGTGACACTTTTCATCTGCATTTGGAATCAACCGGGCTGCATATCTTAAAAGCATAGTAAATTCTGTTTCGTATTGCATAATTGAACGATTTCCTTGTACCAATTTGATAAATTTGTCCTGCATTTTTCTTCTAGCTGATAGTGGTACGAACATGTCTCTAAAAGTTTATTCATCCCACTGCACCAAATGGCTAGCTCTACCCCAATTTTCTCCTGCAACCAATTTCACCATCATCTTTTCGCTTCTTCCTTTAAAGACAAAAGTGGCTAGTGTAATCCTTCTCTCTAGAGGACAACCCATCGAGAATCTTTTCCACTCTCAGCACCCACTTCTCAGCATCCACTAGACCTCTTCTCCAAAAGAGAGAGGTGGCCTCTTATCCTGAAATAGCTACAAGTACTTGTCCATCTAGCCTCCCTCACTAGAACTGGCCCGAGTCTGAGATTTCTTAATCATTTGAGTTACGACAGTTATCATCTCCGCAAAAGCACGTGTTCACAGTAATTTGTGGAGCTATATCAATTTCCAACACATTATCTCTAACTTCTTCCCCTTGATTTTCTATATTTCTGAAATAACATAAGAAAGATTATAATAAGACATAATTTAACCCTTCATTAATTTTATTTATGAATTGATTTAATCAACCTAATTACTCTTTTTTATCATGATTCAACCTATTTTTTTTAATACGACTTTCGTAACGACTCGGCCTAATAACTTATAAATTAACCAAGTTAGGAACTGTGGTTGGACGATATTAACATTTAATTTATTTTTCACAAATTTTCAAAACTTTCAATATATATAAGAGTCACTGAGGAACCACAAAGTATAATACATTAATATTAAAAATCAAAATTTCTACAGAGTCTGTAGATAATATCTCAAACCAGCATATAATATCATTATTCAAAAGAAAATTTACAAATAAAATACAATCATAATACCTATCAGCAGTAATCCTCCTGTAAATTATGTTCCTCCTATCAAATAGATGAATCTATAATTTTTCTTGAAAATAGTTTAATTTAACTGTAAATTTTCACGACTTAGTGAGCAATTATAATCTTATTATGCATTAAATTAATATGCATATGATATGCATTAATGTACAAAATAAGTGAAATCTATTAATTAATCAAAGTGTAAACTTTCAATTTAAATTAACCCTTTCTACTTCAATTTAAGCATTTACCTTTTTTTAACATTTACCTTTTTTTTAAGAAGTAATATCAGGATCACTATCATACTCGATGGTATCCTCAAAATAATACTTATAAGCACCCTAAAAAATTTGCACTTGAAAGTACGGCTTTACTATTTTCATTTTCTTCATCGTGCACTGTTACATCACATCCTATGTCAGTACCATCTAGGGATGAATTCAAATTTTACTTAAGTCTTTACTTATTATTTCACATCAATTTAAAGCCATTTAAATATCCTTATACATGTCAATTGTTTTTTCCCATTTCTGAGACATCTTTCAATTATTTAAAATGCAAAATCATAAATGAAATATTAATTTTGAAAACCATACTGCAAGTTAATTTTGATCAATTTAAAATTCAACTTCTAAATAAATCATTAATTTAAAGCCAATAAAAAAATATAAATCAATCCGCTTCGTCTTAAAAGCCCTCTTTAAAAGTTTAATCCTTTGATTAATTTCTTTTACTATCATCTCCTTTTTTTACTCTACTACTTTTTGCTCATTCCACGATCCGAAGCCCTAATTCATTGAATCAAATTTTCTTTAGCCACTATTTAAATTCATCAAATTATACTTAATAACATATATTTAATTAAACGAAATATTTTATAAATAAATGTTATACTCTTTGATACCAGAGTTAATCCAAACCATAATAGAAAAATCAAATATTATTATTGGAAAACCCATCAAGCTATTAAAACTCATATTGAAAGGAAAATTACAACCAACTAGACGGAAATATGAAAAAGCAACACATCCGACATACGACACGGGGCTAAGGTTGGATCAATGGTGGCGGAGATGGGTTGGTTAAGGTTGGAAGGTGGTGGGATGGTGAACGAGGTGGTCAGCAAATAGAAAACAATAAAAGTTATGGTTTCTCGTTTTCTGGACAGCAAGCACGCAACCAATGATGGTTTCTTGGGTTCTGGACACCTTTTATTTTATTTTATTTTATTCTAATTTCAGCACGTTTCCTTTTATCCTTCTTTTATTTCTAGTCCTTTCCTACTTTCTTATTTTCCAATTAGGTATTTTGTTTCAAGGAGACTTATATAGATGTGTTGTATTAGGATTTGGATTTTAGTTTTGTTGTGTTTTGCTTTAAGACAGCCGTTGGCTTCTCCTTTTCCTTTTTAGGGCAATATCTAAGGGTTTTGAGTGGTACTTCTTTATCTTGTTCCCAAGGTGGTGTTTATCCCCTTCTACATATTGCCGACATCGCTCTCACCTTCCCCTCCATTCTAGCCTTGCTGCCTCCACCCCAAACCACCTGTCCCCTAGTGTTCTGACCGCACCTTTGCTGCCGCTACACCCAGGATAGCCATTCCACATCGATTCCTACTGCTTTCTTGCTGTACAAAATATGGGAAACCGCTGCCTTGTTGTTTGTTTCTTGTTGGCTGCCTCTGTCCTACCATCTGAGAGGTCTATACCCAACCTGATTATACCCACACCTTAGATCCAACCCTAGTTCTGAGGTTGTGTTATTTTGTTGCAATTTCAAATTTCGCATTGCTTTGTTGTAAATTCTAATTTGAATTCTGTAATAATATTTGCTTTCAATTGAATCTTTGTTAAATCTCAGTATCAATGGTGCTTTACTCTTGGCTTTGATTGTCACATTACATTATCTACCTAATGGGGTGCCACGTTGCTCCATCTTCACAAGGCTGTGACAACAAAGTAGTGTTATGACACTTTGGGTAAAGCAGTGCTTTGTTCTTTGTTTTATTAGCCCAAATTGAGCCTAATTCACTGTTGCGGCGCTACTGGTACTGTTGTTGTATTGCATTGAAATTATTTCTTTTAAGTCACCGTGCATATTTTGGTGGGAATTCCTGTCAAAACTACTTAATTCGTGTCATAAACATGAATTAAGCCACGCCATTTGATTCATGTCAAAACTACTTAATTCATGCTTTCGGCTTACTTTCAAAAGGGGATTATCATATGTAATCCCTTACCATGAAGCTCCCTCAGCTGGTGCATTGGTCTAAACCAGAGAAGGACTGGATCAAGTTAATAGTGATGCGAGTTGGAATACTGCTGCTGCTGCTGGATGTAGGGGTGTTTTTAGAGATCACGAGCATAATGTTTTAATGATTTTTTCTTCTCCTTCTATTGCTGAAACTGATGCTGTGTTGGCTGCTCTCCTCTTTGCCAAATCGAAGGGCTGGAACAATCTGATTGTGGAGATGAACTCCTTGACTCTTTGGAGAAGCTGCTCTTCCGTAGTTAATACTCATTGGTCCATCTATTTTACACTCAAAAGGATTACTCAGTTGCTCTTGCTTATCCTTTGGGTGGTCTCACATTCCAGGGAGGGGAATAGGTTGGCTGATTGGATTGCTAAGCTTCGAGCTTCTTCCCAAACTATATTTGTGGATCTTTCTCCTCAACCTAAATTTTTTCATACTTGGGGACAAGTTTCATCTTCTTTACCAAAAAAAAATGAATACTAATAATATGTTTTCATTAATGTCCATGAAGGTTAATGCACTGTATGAGGAGATGATGCAACAGTTAAAGGTAAGCAGCATTGAACAGCTTGCCAGACAGCAGGTAGATGGTGTGGTTCGACAAAGGGAAGCAGGCCACGATGATGTTGAGTCAGTGGTTCCTTCCACTTGCAAGCATGTCGTACATTGTCATGACGGCGTGTGTGGTTCCATATTATTTGAGCACAATTCAAACAGGCTTATCACTGGCGGCCAGGACCGCACAGTGAAGGTTTGGGACGCCAACACAGGGACGTTAACTAACACTTTCAGAGGCAGCATCGGTTCCATTCTTGACATTGCCATTACTCATGATAACAAATTTGTGATTGGGGCAAGCAGTTCCAACAATTTGTGTGTGTGGGAATCATCCTCAGGCCGTATTCGTCACACGCTTACAGGCCACACTGACAAAGTATGCAGTGTAGATGCAATGAGATACTCTGGCCGCAATGCAGTCAGTGCAGCTTATGATCATACCATCAAAGTCTGGGATCTGCAGAAGGGTTACTGTTCACAAACTATCATTTCAATGAGTAATTGCAATGCAGTTGCCTATAGTTCTGATGGGCTAACTATATGCTCAGGCCATGTTGATGGTAACCTTCGTTTGTGGGACAGTCAGTCTGGGAAATTGATCAGTGAGGTTGCAGCTCATTCACAAGCAGTCACATCTGTCTGTGTGTCTCGTGATGGTAACGTAGTCTTAACAAGTGGAAGGGATAATGTGCATAATTTGTTTGATGTAAGAACCTTGGAGGTTTGTGGTACTTATAGGACTAACGGAAACAGGGTTGCATCCAACTGGAGCCGCTCGTGCATCAGTGGCGATGAAAATTGTGTGGCAGCTGGTTCTGCTGATGGTTCTGTCAGTATTTGGTCAAGGTTGATGCCTCACAAGGTGAGCGTTCTTGATGGACATACTTCACCTGTTCTTTCCTGTACATGGAACGACCTTGGTAGACCTCTGGCTTCTGCTGATAGGAATGGGACTGTTTGTATATGGGTGTGATATATATATATATATGTATATATATATATATATATATTCTTCTCATTAATCCTGTTTATTTTTCTTTATAATTTGATTTGTTGTCCTGTTCAATTTTTTCATATTTAATTGTATCAACAATTGTAAAATGATTCTCCTGCACCGTGTTTGTAGTATATATGGATTTATTGTGTATTATAGGGCTATTATGCATGGCTCTCTCCATTGTTTCCCAGAAATCCTTTTATGTATTTCACTCTATTTTCTACTTTGTTTGGTTGCTCAAGGGAATTTTAGCTGGTGTAATTGAATATCAGGGGTTGCGGTAGAGAGGCGGAGTTCTTGGGGGTCTTGGTTTCTGCACTACTAAAAAGTGCAGGCGGTTCATGATTCATCTTTTGGTGTGTTGAAATGTTGCAGAAAACAAAATTATTTTGGTGACGTTCATACATGCATGTTGCCCTAATACCCTTGCCTTATGTTTTAAAGCTAGGTTTCAAGAAAATTTGAACTAAAATACCTTTTACAACAAGGCCTCAACGCTCACGGTGGCCAAATTCTAGAAGAGATTGAATGGTGATATCGGTTGCTTATACTATATGGAAGCTAAATAGATGTTATGTTGGTTGAAGTGGTTGGTCAATCGTAAGGATTCGAGTAGTTGTTAGCCTTAAGTGAAAATAAGAAATAAACATGATGATAAATAAATACCCATATATATATAGATAGTTTTAGTATTTGAGAGTTTTGTTGTCTAACCAAGAGGTCACAGGTTATGATCTTGTTTATGTTGTGTACATGTGTACGAGAAAAAATTATATATATACATATGACCAGCAAATGAGTGATAAAATCATTACAAAAAGGGTCAACTTCCAACACTTGTCTCGTTATATCTATCAAACTATCTATCATTGGAGCAATGTTAACTGGGAAGAGCTTGCCTGGAATAAGTTCATTACAACGTCCATGTCTTTTTTCTGCTGGAGATTGTTCATGAATTTATTACCAATTGATGATATACTCAAGCTTAAAGGACTGAGAGGTACTTCCTGCTGCCTTTTATGTATGTAAGAGGAGGAAACTCTAGACCATCTAGTTTTCAATTGCTCCTATGTGCAGACTGTTTGGAACTAACTAATTGGCAGATTCTCATTTAACGCTATTAATTTACACTTGCTCAAGTTCAGAGAGAGCTGGAAGGATTGGCAAACTGCACAACATACCCTATCCTTTGGATTATTGCATGGTTTATCTGGAAATATGATGATGCTAAACTTACTAAACAACAGGTGGTGAACGACTGCATGTCCATCCTCTTAAAACTAATCAAACACAAGAAGTTTAGTAATATTTGCAATGGCCATGTATCAAATACCATGCTCACAAGCAGCCCCAAGATCAGTCTGATTTATTGAAAAAAGCCTTCCTACTAGTGGATCAAAATCAATACATATGATAGTTTTATTCAGAATGATACTGGAATTGGTGTTGTCTTTAGGGACCAATCAAACAAATGTCTCCTCTTCTTCCAATCACCTGTTTTGGCACAGGATGCACTTACAACTGAAGCAATTGCATTTTTTTGGTCTTTAAAGCTTGCTCAGGGTGTGTATTGGCACTATCTGCAAATTGAATGTGATTCACAACTGCTGCTACATATCTTGGACCAGATAGAAGTCCCTTGGCATCTGGTACATTGGATCTATAAAATTAATTTCTTAAAAGCAACTCTCCAAACTATCATCTCTTACACCCTTAGGGAGGGGAAATGACGAGCCAATTGGCTTGCCAAAATAGGGAACCACACTGAAGATGTAATTGTAAGCAGAATCCCTACTCTGAAAAAGCTGCAGAATTGAATAGTTATTCATGTTTTTCATTTTTGTAATTGGGTATATTTAGAATTAATTTCTTACAAACCTTTTATTATATATATATATGGAGTTGGCAGCTGGAATTGCTCTGCTAGGGTTTCTACAAACATGAAGGTTGTCGATGGCTGCTCATCGATGGGGGACCTCATTGACTACTTGATCTTTGCTTGGGAATGTTCTTTTGGGACTGCCTGGTCTACTTGGAGGAGCTTCTTTGATTTTTCTTCTTTCCCGGGTTTTTTGGTTTTTCAAACTTGGGGTTATTGTTCAATTGATTTCACATTGCCTTGTCTTGTGGATGGGCTTCCTGTTGAGCTTCTACTGCTGGTTTTTATTGCTTTTTTTTATTGTTGGTGGCCTGCATGTGGTTTGAGTTGTTAAACTCTACTTTGTTTTCTTGCTGAGTTTCCTTTTTCCCTACTAGTTTTCTCTGCTTTACTTCCTGAGTTTATCTGTCTGGGACTTTTCTCCATTGGTACCCCTATTGATATTGAGACCAACATTCAGTGGTCTAAAGCCAATTTTGCTGATGTGGTTAGTAAAAGCTCTAGTTTTCAAAGTTCTGTGGAACATATGGTATTTCCCAACTCTTTTCATGAGAGAATTATTAGTGATGAGCTTCCCTACATTAAACAACTTGGTAAGAAATCAGGGAAACTTGCTGCCTGTTTCTCTGAATCAAAAATTAACTCCCCTTCAGCCTCTTTCAAGTTTAAATTCATTGGAAAATTCCAATATGGTCATCCTAAGATGGAGGCAATCAGAAAATATTTTGAAGATTTAAAACTCCTAAGTGAATGAAAATAGGGCTGGTGGATGGCAGACACATGTCTATACACTTATCTAGAGAGGAAGATTTTGCTATACTTTTCTTCAAAAAAGTACTATTAATTGATGGCATGGCAATGAAATTACTAAAATGGTCTCCTGATTTCTGATTTTGATCCTAGTCAGGAATTGATCCTAGTCAGGAACCCCCCATTGTCCCTATTTGGTTCAAGCTCCCGGGCCTTAATTTACATTTCTTCCACCATCAAGTGATATTCACTATTGGTACTGCTTTGTGTAGGCCTATGAAACTTGATATTCTCACCTATAACCTCTCAAGACCATCAACAACCAGGATCCTGGTAGAAAGAGACATAACACTTCCTGAAGTAGATGAAATTTGGCTAGGGACAGCCCATAATGGGTACTGGTAGAAGATTATGATGGAACAAAAGTCATATTATTGCACTCGTTGTAAAATGTTTGGACATACCAATGCTAGATGCTTCAGACTTCATCTTAAGCCCAAACCTCATAACTCAACCTCTCAGGTTATTTCTACTCATAGGGTACTGCCTCAACCTGTCCCTACTGAGCAACCTTCCCACACAGCTGACATTCCTGAACATTCTTCCCCCAGAATTCTTGCAGATGATCCCATAACAATCCATAAAGAAGTGGAACCAATTGTTTTTCAGTATGCTCTTCCCAGGGTGGTTCCTGAAGTTGAATCTATGCCTTCAAATGCCTTCCCAGATTCTATGAATATTACTCTAGTGGAGGATGTAGTGGAAGAGCTAGCCAAACTCCCTGAATTGGATATGGCCCAGTCTGCTCCCCCCAATATTATCCCTGATCATATCTGGCCCTTGGCTCCCAACTAGATGCTTTACACAGAGAACTGGATGAGAGATGGTAGCTACAAAAAGCAAGAAAAAAGAAATAGCAAGCTGTAACGGACTCACAAGGTGATACTTTTGTTCTTGAAGCTGACAGTTCCTATTCCACTAAAAGAGACACCCTCACTAGGCTTACTAGGGGGAGAACCAAATCCTCCCACAATGATTAATCTTCTTTGCTGAAACATTAGGGGAGTGGCTCACCCACTCTCCTTAAAAAGGCCCCTTTATCTTAATAGAAAACATAAAGTATGGTGTATTTCTCTTCTTGAACCAATGGTTTACAAATATCCTCAAAGAGTTTTGACATATTTCCATGGATTTTCCCATTTTTTCCAATATTAACAACAAGATTTGGATCCTTTGTAGATTTGAGATCATTTGGTCAGTCCTCATTGATGACCCTCAGTTTGTTCATTTCCATTTTGATGTTGTTGGAAAGTCTGGTTTTGCTATTATAGTTTATGAAGGCTGTAATAAGGTTTCTAGAAGATCTCTTTGGAATGACCTTCTCAAAATTGGAGGCTCTATGAACTCCCCTTAACTTGTGAGAGGTGATTTTAATTATTTTGTTGACCTCTCTGAAAAAAGGGGTGATAGGCCACCTAATCTTCTGAAAATGACTGAATTCAGTGACAACATTAAAGCTGCAAAACTTTTTGATCTTGACTTTCAGGGTGCCACCTTCACTTGGAAAAGAGGGTAGATATGAGAAAGACTGGACAGATTCTTAGTCAATGATTTTTGGTTTTAGACTTTTCTGCACACCTATGGGTCTCATTTGTCTCTAGCAGGATCAGACTATAAACCCCTTCTGATTTCTATTACTACCACCCCCCTAAAGTTCCCGCTTCCTTTAGATTTCAGAATATGTGGGTAGAACATCTTGAATTTCTGAATCTCATTCAAGATCATTGGAGAGGTTCTCATCACACCAATCCTATTATCAAGTTGTGGCAACTGCAAAAATCTATTGTTCAAGCTCCCAAGCAGTGAAATTTGTCCTCTTTTGGAAATGTAGATGACTAAAAAGAAATTGGCAGCTTTGGAAGTTAAGGTCGAAAATGTTACCCTGGATGAATCTGCTCTTTTGGAAGGTGCTAAATAAGTCCTGCTGGCCACTGATTAGTTGGAACTCTTTTTTTAAGGCAGAAAGCTGTTGTCAATAGATTCATGGGAGGGGGGGATAGAAATACTAAATATTATCATGTCTGTATTAAGTATAGAAGGAAATGTAACAAAATCTATAGAATTCAAAATGCTAAAGGAATTTGAATAAATGACTATGAGGGTATTGCTAACAATGCCGTGACCTTTTTTCAGGATCTTCTCACTGCTTCTCTTACTGTATCAACACTAGTGCATCCACATATCTTTCAAAAAGACTTCCAACTTATTTTCACTTCAATTGAATCTGAAATTTGGAAAACTTTACACGGTATTGATAGCTCTAAAGTGGCTGAGCCAGATGTTTATACTTCTACATTCTACAAAAAAGCCTGGCCTATTATAAAAGGTAATGT